ATATATAAAATAAAAATATATAAAAATATCTGATCGAGATGAAAGAGTGCGACGCTACTTATATCGCAATAAAGATCGCACGTGTATGATTTGTGGAATCGATATACATATCGAGATTCAAGAATGAAAATATTAATTAGTGACATTTTCACGTATCCTTTTACAAATTGGACGCAATATACAGGGAGTTGATTATTTCTTCAAAATAGAAGATTACAAAAAAGCGAATTTACTAGAATATTTACAATTGTATGACAATATGTACAATTGGTGACAAATGAATTTTCGCTCACTTTTTTGCTCATTTTTGTAATTTTTTTCATCTCGTTTCCAGAGCTGCATTCAAAAACACTACTCGAATACCTCTGAGTATTATTTTATTCTTGTTTAAACATTCGATGAAAAACAAGAATAAAATGATACTCAAAGGTACACGAGCAGTGTTTTCGAACGCAGCCCACGGGATCGATTATGTTCGAATAAATATGTTCGAGATAAAAATAACAAAAGAGCAAATTCACTAGGAGTTGGCTAATGAAATTATAAATATTCTAGTGAATTTGCTCATTTTTGTAATTTTAATCTCATTTCAAGATACACAATCGACCCTGAAATTGCGTATTATGGAATACATATTATAGAATTATTCGCAATGGATTTCAATCGGAATTATTCAATTATTACTTAAATTTTTATTGTGTTTTTAGGGAAAACAAAATAATTTCGATCCATTTTGACTTCTTCTATAAATATCCTGATCGAGGAATACGATGTTGGCCAAATATCGGAAGTTCTCGCTTTGCGACCGCTTTTTCGCATGAAAGTTGCGTTATCAATCTTTACTAAATGTTTGTATACTCTATTTGCATGAGATTTGAACGCTATACAGCCATTACGTTCAACTTACGGAAATTTTCATTATGGTCAAATAGCAATATGAGCTCATCTCAATACGAAAAAAACTCTAAACATTTATTGTAACAAGAGGCTGCCCGTTAATTTTTTTGTATGCTACAAAAAGTATTATTGAATCAGCGATTTTTCTCATAAATTTTACTCGGAGAATCGCTCTATAATCAAAATTTTTTTTCTGTTTTATAAGCGAGTCAAAATATAACATTTATAGTCTTACTGTTCGCGCGAGTTTAATATTATTGTTAAAAAATTGCTAATACAATTCTCTAATTTACAAAAAAAATCAAAATCATTTATACATTATCCGCTCTGTTTTGCATTTTACATCAAACAACTTAAGATCCATAAGGAATAAACCTATTTGACCCAATTACATTTCTCACATTCTTCTTTCTTTAATGCACTTGTAGTATAAATATTTACAAATACTCGCAAAAGTTTGCGCTTGCAAAATGCAACCGTCCCGTTTTAGATACGGAAAGTGTGAAAGGAGAATCGAAACCGAGCAAATCCAAGAGCAATATTCGCAAGCGGTATTTCTTATTGAAAAAATTCCAGACAAATTAAGTAAAGGAGACCATATTCATTCAAAATAGGTCTTAAGCAGTGCTTAATATTTTAAATGTTACAATTTCCAGTTCAAACAGGAGAAACTCGCAGGAAAAACTATCGTTTGCGCGTATACGCGCCGGAAATCGAGTTGTTCGCCAAGAGACCAAGATACCTTCCGCGCGTTTTTGATCTTTCCGGAGCAATCTGTCCTTCCTCGATACATCGATGAGAGACGAGAGGGGACCAGGTGATAGGATATCGTTATCACTTGCTCCGATAATGGAACCGATAACGAACTGGTGACCCGATTTCCCGTATTCCGACAGGAAGATTCCGCGCTTCGTTATCCGGCTTACCCCTTTATCGCCGTGCATCGTCGCCGTCTGCTGTTATGTGTCACGAGTATCGTACTCCAGCCGGAAGACCCGAGGGTGTACCGCCGGATATAGGTAGCGCGGCACTGATATTAAAACTAGGGTAGCGACGATGCGTCCGCTGCCGCCGTGAGCTCCCTTATCACTTCGTCACGTAACTCGTATCCCACGGAAAGAGGAGGCAAAAGTGGAGGAAGAAGATGAGCGGGCGAGGGTGGGCCCGCGAGACTCGTCCGAAGTCCTCCTTATTTGAGGGAATCTCTTATCCGCCACGCTGCCCACGATCGCGCTCGAATTATCGATTCGAACGTGAAAACCCGCCCGCCGGCGCCGTCTTCGTTTTCGTCGTCGGTCGGTCGTCGTCGTCGTCGTCGTCGTCGTCGTCGTCGACGTCGTCGTCGTCGTCGTCGTAGTCGTCGTCGTCGTCGTCGTCGTCGTCGTCACCACAGCGATGATCCCTCGTGTCCGCGTATGATCGCGCGTGTTGTCCCACCGGGATCAACCGGGCATCCCGGTGTCACGCACACGTATTTACGCCCCGCGGCTGCGACTCGGCCGTCCCCCTCACTGTCGCCGTCACGGCCTGGCCTCGCCGTCTCGGCGCACGATCGTGCGTGTGTGTATCACCTACGTATCTCTCTCCCTCTCACCTCTCCCGTTTGCTTCCGCTCTCTCTTCCTGACGTACACTGAGTTCGTTCTCTCTTCTTCTCTCTTCTTCCAACCTTGCATCCCCTCCTCGTTCCTTCAACGCGCGAGCGACACGCCGTGGCGCCGCATTCTCGTCCTCGCCCTTCCTCCTACCCCCGCAACCCTTCAGTTCCTTTACTATATTAACGCTTGCCCGGGGTGGCTGCTCACCATCCTCGCGCGATTAAATGTCACCATTGATCCCATTGTCTTTTATCGATATTTTTAAGGCACATCAATTAATAATCGCCACGTACGGCTCAATCGTATTATTATTACAATCTTGAATGAATTTTACTAATTAATTTAATTTAATTCAAATTGCTTATCTGTATTGAGATGACATCATAACATTATTTGAGAGCGATTCGTTGGTGCTTGAAAGAAAATTCGGGAAATTGTGCTCTCGATTTTGATCCGCATCTACACGCACATTTTCGTTCCCCTTTCGTTCAACCCCTCGTCCATTCCGACAATGCACCATCGACGATGACGTCGAGACGCTTGCGCGTGATACGTCATCGGTTCATCCCTCCGCACCCTCGTGATCGTTCATTGCACTTGCTCACTTGGAGGAGGAAGTGGGGGAGCAGAGATGGAATCGATGTTATTTTTTAGATATCGATTTAGATATCGAGAATAAAAAATTGCTATAATTTCAACTTACTAAATTTTCTTCGTAATTAATAACGAATTAAACACATTAGTGCATATATAATATAGTTACTAATTTAATTTATAAAAGTAAAATGCAAATATTTTGAATTATAAAATAGATTTTATTTAATAATATAATGAAATATATTGAGGATTTCATGGTTTAATCCATTCTTATATTTATATTAAATACATATTTTTATATCAATTTGTGGCTTTAATATGCACTATTGCGCTCAATCGAATTCGCTATTAGATTAATATATATTTGATATTTTGGCATTTTTCAGCGATTATCATCCGAAAGAAAAGACAGCGATTGCATGTTCTTATTTTCATTATTAAATTAGGTGATTCATACTTTTGAATTTTGATTAATATCAACTAATAATTTATAATCTGTAACCGAGGACGTTCGTTGCCCCCGAGATTGCAAAGTCGTTCAACCTCTTCGTGAAAGAGCCGCGGCTAAAATTATCTGGGATGGCGATATAGCTCGGTATTATTGAACCATAGACTATATCCGGTCTAGCATTGGCGCCAAATATAGCGAGATATCCGACATTGCGACTTGCGATATATGTTGCTTGTTGGAGCTTCGATTAACTCGACAAAGAAATATTTTGAGTGAAACTCGCTTCGCGCGGCGAATTGAATCAAAATGGTTTTATGTATAAAATCTGATCAGATTTTTCACGATTTGGATAATTTTATCCTGTCGATTATTCCAACAATATTTATATTTAATTATAAAGCTATTCATAGTAGGATCCATATTTTTAAGATACATAAATATATTTTAAAATTATTAAAATAATTTTCTGTGTAAAATCTGATGAAATTTTCACGATTTGAATCACTTTTACTTTACTCTGTCAATACTTCATTAATGTCTATATTTAATTACAGAGTGAGGGATAAAATCCATAATAGGATCGTGCAGAATATATAAATATATCTTAATTTCTTACAGGTAAAGGACAAATTTTATCCATAATTTTTTTTATGAATAACTAGCTTATTACATGGGGTTCTGATGAAACTTTACGGAATAACCACCACTGTTGGGATCCTTCTCCAATTCAAAGTTATTCGTAGAAAGGCCGAAAGGTTTTAAAACCATGTTTCCTAGATCCTTTAATTTACCCAACATTTCTGCTTTTAGTTTCTCGTTTCTTTCGTTAATTAATGGAGGTAACCTCTAAAAAAACAAGAAATTGTAATATTAATAAATTACAAAAATATAATTTTGATTTTTAAATGTATTCTTAACTTTTAAACTTTTAAATTTTGGCGCACAATTTTAATATTCACAAGTAATTCACTATAATATTTATCATTGAAATTGCTATTTTTAAAATTTAAGTAAAAATTGAGCTTTAAAGAAAAGAAATTTATTTATCTCATTTTTTAAGAGATAAAGGAATAAAATTAATTTATTGTAAAATAAAGACAAATTAAATAAAAAATTGTTATATGTATCATATAAAATACATAGTCACTCTTTTTTTGTAATTATTACTTGAATGTATTAAAACTCTAAACGCGTTTTCTTAAAAAGTTGATTTTTATTATAAACCGCGTTATAGAAAAAATTCATACTTTGAATAAATAATAATTATATATTACCCTGACAGCATGATTAGCTTCTGTGTGACTAGAATCAAATGTTAATACTTTCTTGTAGTCTTCTAATGCCTCATCCAATTTTTCCGTCTCTTCATACAACTGTGCTCTTCTTATATATGCCTTTACATAACTTGAATTTAATTCAATGGCTTTGGTACAATCAGATATCGCTGAATCCTTCTCTGTCTGAAAACAATAACTTCTTAATAACAGCTACAAAATACATAAACAATATTAATCAATGAATGCATCTTTGACAATCACCTGACATTTTGCTTTTGCTGCTGCTCTATTTGCATACAATATAGATCTTTCTTTGATGTATACTAAAGGACAAGTTTGCAATCCTTGTGTGTATTGCGATATCGCTCGTACATATTCACCATTTTTAAAAAGTTCGTTGCCTGCCTGTTTTAAAGTCTCTGCTTCACTTTTCAATGCCTGCAAATATAGATGAATTGCAACATACAGAAAATAGTACTAGAAGGACTCTTTTCAGAAACACAGATGTAACACAGTGAAGCTGATCACATTACATTCTTGTCAATGTTAACCCTACAACAGCATACTTATTAACATCTTAGAGTAATACATGAATCATTTGTGTCAGATCTGATTTTGAAGTTCTTAAAGTGCTCGAAAAATTCTGTAAAAATTCAATGTACATGTTTTTTAAAGTCTCCACTATATTACTCTGTTATGTAAAAAAAAATTGGAAAAAAATTTGGAAAGTTGTAAATATTACGCAAGTATATGAAAAATAAAAACTGTTTGAAGTGGCATGAATACGAATGACCCATGTATGCCATTGGAGAGTTAAACAAAGATGGGTTAAACAAAGATGCTTTCCATTTCGTGACACAAATCAATGTACAAATCTCTATCTTTGTTACTCATTAAAAGAAATATCAAGATGAAATGATATTAGTGTCACTAAATGAAAAGATGATGAATGAAGATGATCACTCTGTTACACTGTCTCTTGCTAAAAAGCAAAGAAGGAGAGATTGCAAGAGAAATATCTTTAAAAATATCATGGACATACTTCTTGCTCACTTTCTGTGAGTAACAGATCTCTATCCTTAAGGAGCTCCTCGTTTACATCCTCCTCTATATTTTGTACATTATCATTACTATCCTCCTTGCATTCCTTATTTACGATGTCCCATGGATCGCCCTTCGCTCGCGCGTTCATATCGGAAGAATTGTCCACTCGGATGCAAGAACTTTCTAGATCTTTGGTGAGTTCTTCTATGACCTCTTCGTTGGACTGTAACCTCTGCGATTTGTCTTCCGAACTCGCCATCGTTTGGTGAGTCACCGTTAAATGAAATGAATTTTACGGAAATGAGAATAGATATGTCAATGCGTAGGGTATCAATGAATGTGTACACGCAAATCAGCTGTGCGACGAAAATAACCTGAAATTGATCTTTGAATAAAAAAGAAGATGCATACACACACGCGGCGCTTTGACGTTTGCCCGAAGTGTTTCTCCTAGCGAATGATAGATCGCGCTTATCGTTCGATTTCCAGCCAACTTCGCTCAGCTGCTTTTCGTTTTTCGTAGCTGCACTTTCTGCACTTGAAACGACAGATCTATCGATGCGCTCAACTATATTTAACTTTGATATCTCTTTTATAATTAAATAATGAATATGTACCTATTTCATTTTAAGTACACACTATAATAAGTGTATAAAAATAATCACAAAGGCCTGAAATAAGATCAAACTTGAATAATAATTAGTTTATTATAAGTACAATTATCTACTATTAAATAATTAATAGGTAATTATTTAAGTAAAAAATAAATCAACAAATTAATAACTTTTAACTTAATTAAATTAATTTTTTTCAAATGAGTTAATTACTAATTGCACTATATTTTGTAAAACATTATTTTAACTTGCAAACTTGGTTTTTATAAATTAAAATCTTTTTTATCTTTAAACGTCAATATTCTTTTTCTATAAAATTTTAAACATTAAATTTTAAAAAAAGCCATAATTATGATGGACGTATAATTGCTAATACAAAGTCCATAATTATAATAGACGTGCAATTGCTAATTTGTTTTTTAACATTTGTTTTTTATTTAAATTACTAGCTTTTTATTCATTAATTTTTTTTTCTATAACGTCTATTAATTATTAATTATTAATATGTATTTTTTCTTAAATGTAAAAGAAAGAATGCAGCTTTCAAAAAACAAGTATTTTTCATAACATTGAAGGAAATTATAGATTTTAGATTATAGATCTGATTAGATCGGTGTATAAACTAATTTGGTAATTCCATAGAATTTAGGAATAAGAGTTCTCTGTGTAGCAATGAGTTATTTCACTTATCTTTATTTTAATTCCAGATTATTTTTATCTCTATTGTTCTACATCTTAACTATATCATTATATAATATATTCTACATTTTAAAGAATATATAATTAGGTAATAATAAGATCTTAAATTGATTGATCTATATTTACTACGTTAATAACAACAAATATAAAATTTTATTTTATGGACCTTTTACAATAAGCCATTAGTTAAATCAGAAGCTATAAATTGATCAATCAGAAGCTATAAATTGACCAATCACAGTCAGTTTAATTTCTGATTTCTGATTTATGACTAATGGTTTACTGTAGAAAGCCCATTACGATATTTTTTCTTCTTTAACATTTATAACTTGTTCCTGCGTATTCTACTCATCAGAATTTTAAACGCGAGAATGAATATCACTATCAAGAATGAATAGTCATCATTATGTACGTTCGACGATTGCGTATAATTGTTTTTCCAATCGGCGGGATAAAAAATTTTAAGCGTAGGTAGGAATTGCCGCTCTCAATTTGCAACGAGCTTCGTAAGTTAGTGCTGTATGAATGTCATAATCGTATAAATGAAATTGATTAGTACGAATAGTATGATGTGATCGGTCGAAGTACTTATTTATGAACAAGGCTACAGCCTTGCTAATATGCTGATAAACACTTGATAAGATTGCGCGGAAAAAAATCCGAAAAGAATGGAAGACGCACTTTTGATAAATATCCATTGGGCGAAATTTCTAGGCGAATTCGTCACGGCGATACAACATATAAGTTATTCGCGCGAGTAAATATTTCAGTGCGATGAAGAATGATTGATCGATCGCCGACGCGACGTTGAAGGCGCGATTGCAATTGGTGTGAATTAGGAGTATAAAAGAGAGAAGAAAAGAGATTGATGATGGAGGGAAAAGAACAGACTAGAATGGAATTTGATTTGTTTTTTATAGGTCTGTCCTCTAAGAAAAAAAAGTATTTTTTTTTAGTGTTTTTTCACACATGCATAATAATGAAGAATGACAAATACAAAAAGTAAGTAAAACAAAAGAATGATTATACAAAAAATAAATATAGTAAACTGACAAAAGATAAGAGAGAGAGAGAGAGAGAGAGAGAGAGAGAGAGAGAGAGAAGGATAGAGTGAAAGAGTGGGGGGGGTATATGATGTATCGTACGGGCCATGTCGCTCCGTTTCTGTTGCGCGAACGAGAGGCACAAAGTCACGATTTGTCACGAAGGCGGTCTGCGTCCTATGTATGCATTGTGCAGTCAGTGGCGTCAGTGCTGGTCAGTGCAGTGCCTGATACGGTACGACGCGTGTTGTACGTTTTCCGATGTGGCGAGCAAGATCGAGATCGAGCAACGCGTTGGAGTTTCCGTTTACGCAGTAGCCCGCTTGTGGAGTTAGGCGGCATAAAGTGCCTTTTCTGTTACTAGGATCTTCGCTAAAATGGTGAGTCTGAAATCCTGGTATCTGCGATGCTAGAAGGCTAGAAATCATTCTGAGCTCTCCGAGATGGGGAGTGAATTGAACAACCTCTCATAGGTCAAATGATCCAATTGCTCAAAATGTTTAAATGTGATTTGTTATTTTTTCTCCATCCAAAATTTCGGAGCCTAGCATGTGGACATAAAGTTTAATAGCGTTATATTTTCCTTCTTTTTTTCCTCCCTTTTTCTGCTTATTTATTAAAGAAAATTCATGGAACATGCCGTGCGTCTGTTATGCAAATAGGTGTATACACAAATACAATGTGATTATCATATTTCAGTTTCAGAGAGACGGAGTGAGACTCAGACAGCATATGTCGAAGAGAACGTCGACTGAGTTACCTTACGAAAACAGAATTGCTTCGAGGAAACAAGATATACTGCCAAATGATACCCAGCATCTCCTCTTCGTTCTTACGTACTTTCTCTTCATGTCCTTTATTATAATCGTCTTAGAGAAGAATTTGCCTGATCCAATTACCATTGACACGGAAGGATTACATCCTGGAAAATTTGTTGCCGAGCGAGCTCGTAATCATATCGTGAACCTTACATCGATTGGACCTCGTATCGCCGGCAGTTACGAGAACGAAGTTCTAGCTGTAAAATATCTAACGACAACGATCAATAATGTGATGAAAACAGCGCACGAGAATCACAGGATCCTCCTTAACATTACAAAGCACAGCAGCGCGTTTCCACTTAAGTTTCTCGATGGCATGACTAATGTTTACAGAAATGTACAAAACGTTATTGTCAAAGTCGGACCTCACAGGCCTACAATGCATAGCTTGTTGCTTAATTGTCATTTTGATACGTTTTTAGAAAGCCCAGGTAACAAGCATCTCCATGTACAATAAGTGTCCTCTTATCTGCTTGAATAATTGTTATTTATGTAAAAAAAATAGGTGGTTCTGACGACGCCGCTGGTTGTGCTGTAATGCTAGAAACTTTACGGATAATAACACAAAGTCCGAAAATATTGAAGCACAGCGTTATATTTTTATTTAATGGGGCAGAGGAAAATTTATTGCAGGTATTAATTCGATATCTAATCTTGATGAGTTCTGATTTATTGATTAGTTTTAAAGCCGCGATAAAGCCGTATTCTGCACATGATGTATTTGTAGGCATCTCATGGTTTCATAACGCAGCATCTTTGGGCAAAGGATGTACGAACATTCATAAATTTGGAGGCATGTGGCGCTGGTGGTCGCGAATTATTGTTTCAAGCTGGACCTCACAATCCTTGGATTCTTGAGGTATCTCATTATTGTTTTCTGTTTGTTAGCATTAAACTTAATTTTTTTATTACGGCACATTTGTCAGATTTACGCCAAATCCGTACCATATCCTTATGCATCATCGTTAGCTCAGGAAATATTTGAGAGTGGTATAGTACCTGGTGATACAGACTTTCGGATATTTAGAGACTTTGGAAAAATTTCTGGTAAAAAAGATTCGATTATAATTTACGATCAATAATTCGTTGCTAGAAAAAATTTTTACTAGTATATTTAAAATTTTTATACAGGGCTGGACTTTGCATGGTCAAAAAATGGCTATGTATACCATTCTAGATTTGATAACGTTGATCAAATACCGCTGGGAGCTTTACAACGAACCGGCGATAATATTCTTGCATTGACGCAAGGAATAATATTCGGAGATTATTTATCGGACGTGGATGTGCAAGAGGCACGGGGTAATCTCGTGTTCTTCGACTTCTTGGGTGCATTCGTTATTAGATGGCCACAGTACATTGCCAGTACAGTTAATATCGCCAGTATGATTATAGCTGGATACTCTATCCATTTGAATATGCAGAGTGCACGTAGAAGTAAGAATATATAATTATTATTTAGATCCGGCTGCGCCAATAGACCTCAAATCGGTTCTCGAACAAATCTGAATAATACAATCGAATTCTGCGTTATCGGATACAGATATTAAAAAATGGATGTACATGAGATATGTGCTGATGTGCGTCGGAGTGATCCTGGCTTCATGGTTGGCATCTATGTTTTCTTGTACATTAATCGGCCTGATGCTGACCAAGCTGGGAAAAGTGATGAGCTGGTACGCAAGACCGGCATGGCTGTTTTTCTTGTATGTTTGTCCAACTGTTTTTATATCGATGATCATATTTCTTCAAATCGGATCGAGGCAGAAAAAAGTAAGTAGTAGAAATAAGTTTTGCTGCAATCTCGATTCTTATGTAATTACGTGTCTGGGTTGAATGTCAAATATTATCGATAAAATTAAATTAAAAGTTTGCTTGAAGATTTATTGCAGCACATACAAGTAATACTAATCCATGATTGTAGGAAATTGGTTCTGCATGGATTTTGTATCATATGTACTATGACGCGTATTCCTTGATATGGATGTTGATTCTCTTCATATGCGTTTTATTTGGAATACGATCGGGCTTCATACCGCTCCACTGGGTTTTATTCCCATCACTTGGAAATATTGTGCGACACAATTTCTTCAGCAAATGGAGAGGTGAGGACACTCGAAACTCATTTCTATACATTTTTTTTAAACTAACATTTTTTTACATGTTAATCTTCTGTGTCAATTATTTTAAAAGTTCTAATATTTGATTGAATGTACTTTTATGAATTTTGTAGACTGGAAATGGCTTT